TGTTAAGAGCAATTTTAGATAAAGTTTTGAGTGTCTAGACTTATACTAAAACAAAAAGATTCTTTCTCGATTTCTCGATTTATGTCGTGTTGTGTAGAACAAGTTATTTATGAGGGACGGAAAGGGGAGTATTAAAGAACAGCATTACACGCAAAATTATAAGACTCATCCAAAACATTTCTTGCTTGTCCGATAATTTATCGCGAGGAAAATCGTCTTTGTATTAAATTTATTACAACGCTGAGAATTGCGTCTTTTTGCGAAACAAAGTAGGTCAATGCTATGAGGAAGTTAAATCTCGAATTCTTTCATAGGCGTACGCTGCATTCAGCACCGTGGCCTCGTCAAATTTCTTTCCCACCATCATCATTCCCACTGGTAAACCATTGCTAAGACCCACACTGATTGACAGGGCTGGGTGACCTGTGACAGTCGTAGATGACGTGTTGACGCTATTGTTGAATGCTTTTTCGTTATATTCTGCAAGAGGAAAGAAACCACATAAGCGAAGTGGACGACACTGATACTGGTGAACGAACGAACGAACGAACGAACGAACGACAACTACAACAGAATAGGAAAGTTTAGGAAGTGACTACACGGATTTAGAGCTGTCCCTAAGATGCTCCAATTTCTCAAAAAGGTCGCTCAAAAGTTGCTCCAAAATCTTCACGTTGATTTTCATATTTTCTACAAGAAGTTGTTGATTAGCCTACCAGAGAGCCTTGTTTTACTGCTCCTTGACTCCTGAACATTCAATAGCCTGCTAAGACGATTAGCAACCTTTTTCATTACTTCCGTTCATTATTTAACCCAACAAACAATCAATATTATGAATTTTTAATTCTGTTTATGCTTAGTCTCGCACCCGCTGTGGCTGCTATATCAAGAGGCGGTCACTCGAGCAAGAGTACTTAATCAACCCACCGCTGACCACTTGAATTTCCTAAAACTTAGAAATGCTCAGAAAACTATGCCGTATGTGACGGTTGTGACCGAAAAGAAAAGCGAAAAAAGTACTTCATAAGTGCTTCATATACCAGTTTCGTCTGTTATAATTTTGCAGTTTTGTCTTAGAACATAAGAAGTTGCCCCAAATTAAAAAAGTTGCACGAAATTGGAAAAGTTGAAAAGTTCCTCAAAA